TGACCACACAATGCTGTCCTTTTAGGCAAACCTAAAACACATCCTGCACCACCCTCACTTACTTTACTGCCACCCCAGGCTTCCTCACACAGTACAGCAGCGCCCTCTGTGATACTCTGTGAAACGAAACAAAAACAAAATATTTTCAAATTAAAGTATTTTAATTCTTCGCAGCAGGAACAGCGTGAATTTATGTCATAACAACTGAAGGATTCGTCATAATTACATTTGCATTTCATCTGTGTAGAAACGTACTAATTAAACTAACACAGTTTTCACTGATTCTGGGCCCGACCGTCTCGGAATTGGAGGCTGATGAGAATATTAATTTCGTATCCTTTCATGTTGGAGCTTCTGAAAATAACTGATGACGTGTGAAGACAGGTGCTTCAGTGGATGAATCGCAAAACAACAAAGATGCTAAATGTGAAGAAAAGAGGAGAAAAGATTGGTTTTGAGAAATGGAAAAGAGCATGAAAGTGTGAAGCAGGGAGCAGGAGTGAGGAGAGAGTGAGAGAGAGTGAGGGGTGAGGGAGGGGTGAGGGAGGGGTGAGGGAGGGGGAGATGAATTATAGCCTGTTCCTGGAATCAATAATCTTTGAGTTACAGTCCCAGTGAGCTACAATTCCATTTTCCCCCCTCTTAGCGAGCACAGGGAGGGTGACTGATGTAAACAGCGCAGCCTTCAGGACAGAGCAGAGACATGTCTCACCTTGCCCCGAGGAAACGGGTGGTAACGAAAACAAAGGGACTGGAAGACGATTGAAAACGTTTGTTTTTTCTTCTGTGGTTTCAACGTGTTTAAACATGCATCAGAACTGGTGTGTACAAAATAAGGCTGGCGGTCCTGCAGCTGCCCGTCCAGCTGTCTGCGTCTCTGTCACAATTCAAATGTCTGCACTTAGAGACTTTGGAGGAAAAGTTCAAGAAAGCGCACCTCTGACTGTGTGGTGAATCCAGCAGGGGGCGTTCTGAGCAGGGTCTAAAATAAGTTCCAACTCTTTTCTAATTGACAAATAAGAAAATAAGACTTCTGAGAGTTTTACTCAACCCAAAATATGGGGCTGCAAGAAGCTACGGAACGCAGCGTTAACGCCTCTGTGCCTGCGCAGCAGAAGTACAAAGAAGAGTAAAAAAAAAGTACCAAAACTAGTTCTGCACATGGTTTTGGTACTTAATGTGAAATATGTGCAAGTGCGCTCACTCTTGGTTTACCAGCATAGTTTCTAGCTGCTAGCTTCAAATGCTAACGTCAACACAGGCTCTGGAATCATCACCAAACTCTTCATCACCGTGACATTGATGTTGATAAAGGTGAAATATCTGGGCGATTCCAGATCGCGGCTAAAAACGTGAGATGACTTCAACACGGGCGAACGTCCAAACCTCTAACAGCTTCTCTCTAAGCCTGAGGGACGTCGAGGGATATACGAAGAAAAACTCCACACTCATCTTTTATTTCTGGCTTTCCGCCCAGGCTGACTTTAAAATTGCATTACTTTATGTTCTTTTTTTTTTTTTTTTTAAATATTTATTTTTTATTTTACGGCTTATTTACCAGTGATTTATTGCCCTCTCATTGGCTCGTGTGAACTCAGGTAGTTTTAAATGAGCCCAAAGAAATAAAAGTTGAACTTCCTCTCATATGAGTGCCATGAATATTTGAAACACACGGCGGTGAGGAGAGGACGTTACGGTAATTCACCCTGACAGAACGGCGTCCGTCCAGATGACGTCGCCTCACACCTACGTCGGAGGCCATTTGGACTCAAAGACCGTCACCTGACTCTGGAATTCTTCTTCCTTTGGACAAAAAAAAGTCAGTTCAGGGGATCAGTTCGCCCCGCCCCCTACAGCCTACAAAGTGCACTACATAATGTGTAGAAGTTGTCCACTATAGGTATATAGAGCTCTCAATGTTCAATGGAAAATCTAGTGACCCGATGGTCTCTACCCAAGAAATATATCCCATCATGCACTGCAGCTGCGACAGTATAGTGGATAGACAAGCAGCGTCCAGCAGTTCGTTTTAATTGTGCGACAGTAATGACGTAATTAACTGCGTACCAAAGAACCGATGAGTTCATTATATAGTGCACTATATATGATTACCTGTAGAGGGAGTAGGGAGGTGGGAGTGCCACCTATGTAGTGCACTATGTAGGGCGTAGGGGGCAGTTTTTGACAGTGTTGCCCCAGTAGTGATGTTCGTCACTCACCCTTTTGTATCGGTGAATTTCACAACATTTGCTCTGACGTTTGGAATTCTTCTACTTCCTGAAGCTACTGGTGCAACCGAGGGATTCCACGGGGCAGAAGGTTTATCACCTCACAGCCCGCAGAGCAAACAAAAATGACTAATAAATGACATATTAACATCGGCCTCGTTTACTCTGGCGTTCAGACGCAGTATCGTGTTTTTTCTTCCAAAGGTTATTGGACCAACAGCAGCTCAGCGTTGATGGGTTTTTGGTTTTTTTTTTAAGCAGAGAACTGAACCGTTGACCTGACAACTGCTGGTGGCACCTGGTGGATGACATTTAGACCAGGAGAAGCATTTGAGGGGGGCCGAAGCCGACTCTTTGCATTTTTGTTTTTTCCTCTCTTTTGTTACTCTCTTTTACTCTCTAATGTTGCACAGTTTGCAGTTTCCCTGAGGGATGGGGTGTAACCTCATTACAGGGGCATTTAAATCGATAACCCCCGGGTGTCATTATGTTAATACCCCCTGTGTAAGTGTGGTTCATTCAAAAACAGATAATCACTTTTTTTTTAATTCCTGATACTAGTGAGTGATTTTGTGATTTTTTTTGATTGGTGTCATTAATCATCAGCTCGATGTCAAATTTATTTGCAGCCTTTTATTGTGAAAAACCAGAAGGAAGCAGAACCAGAAGGTAGGATCATTGATAACTGATAATCCTATTAAAAATTCACCTCGATCCGGAACGATCCGAGGGTCCTGGACCCACTGAGTTGTCACTCCCTTTTTTTTACCAGCTCTGAAATTATAGACTCGAATTTTGCTACAATTTCGGTGCGCTGGTCGTCCATTAGTTATTTAATACTACGTAGCATCGCTTCGTTAGAATCTATAGGTGGCGCTGGCTCCAAGGACTGTGGTTGCGATCTGTTCCGTCCGGACTTGGTAGCTTCGGCTTTTGTTCGAGTTTTTGACATGTTTCCGTGTCAAGACTTTTTTAACTCCTTCGAGCGGTAGAACCGCAAAACATTCTATGTCGTCCACATCCTCACAGGAAGTCAGGAAGGATAATTAACAATTAAAAAAGTGAGAGACACCGCCCTCTTCCTTCAGACGGGAATTTAAAGCAAAGTTGTCTTTTCACTCACAAACACCACGATTCTATTCTCCAGAGTCGTGAGTGGGAAGAAACGTCAGAATTAACATTTGGTCATTGTGGTTTCACAAACTGAGAGTTCTGACATAAGTGTAATACTTCAAAAATACACAGTACTACACACCTTGACTGGTTCACAAACTGACCCTGTCTCTGTCTGTCTGCTCTCTCACAGTCTGAAGACCACGCTGAAGAAGAAGCTGTCAGGCGATGTTGTCAACCTGTCAGGAATCCCGCTGTCCGGCCGGGACATCCACCGCGTGGTCTTCTACCTCCAGAGCATCAGCGACTCCGTGTCGACCGTGGACCTGAGCTTCACCGAGCTCAGGGACGAGAGCCTGCGGCTGCTGCTGCCTCACCTCAGCTGCCTGCCCAAACTCACCATCCTGGCCGTCAACGGCAACCGCCTGACGGTGGCCATCCTGAAGGACCTGACCGACACGGTCAAAGACCCGCGCAGGTTCCCCAGTCTGGCCTGGATCGACTTGGGCAACAACGTGGACATCTTCACCGTACCGCAGCCGCTGCTCGTAGCCCTGAGGCGACGCTTCGGCCTACGCAGCAGCCTCCCGACCATATACGAGTACAGCGAGGCCCAGGCGTTAAGTCGATACAACCCGTGCCTGGAGACCTCCGTGGAGGAGCCCAGTCTTTATGAAGAAGCGGACGTGGAGGACGACGATCGAGAAGAGGAGGTGGACAGGCTAGAACTCCAGGCCTGGGGCTTCAGAGAGGAGACCGTGTCAAAGAGTGTGTCGGTTCACTTCTGTGGGAGGTGATCCGTCTTTGACTGGCAGCCTCTCGTACTCAGTAACCCCCGCATCAGCCCCGGCCGACGGAGCGCTCCTGCGTTAGCTGCTGTCTCTGTGGCAGGAGACGCTTACGGTGACGCACGTTTCTGAAAATAACTTTTGAAAATAAAGTAACCGTGTGTTGTCTTTCTGTGAATGCTGAAATCGGACCATGTGATGTTTGAACACGTGGACTGACTTCGCCAGTATTCATCGCAGGGACCAGGCGGTCGTACTGGGTTTTTCATCGTCCCGCTCTCACGCCTTGATGCTTTTCATGGATCCATAGTGTAGCTTTGCAAGCAGAGAGCAGAGTCCTGGGTTCTGGGGGCCACATTCAGCCTAATTAAATGTCAAGTGGGCCGGACCAGTAAAATCATCACATAATTATCTATAAATAATAATAATAAGCCCATGTTTTTTATCTCTTTTTTCACACAAAGAGGTACTCGTGTTTGAAAAAACATCATATACATAAAATGTTTTGGGTTTTTTTTTTCATTTCAAAATTTATCAACCGGGCCAGAATTAACCTCCTTAGCGGGAGTTTTTTTTGCTTCCAGAATTAACCTCCTTAGCGGGCCGGTTTTGGCCCGCAAGCCACATGTTTGACACCCCCGATCTAAAAAAACCTTTAGCTAACACAGCTAGCATCCTTGGCTTGTGAAGCGGTGGAAAATCTGTTTCGACAACACGTGTGTACGACGTACATTTTCGATGTCAACTCGTACGTGTCCAGCTGAAATATGCTTCCAGAATTCTTTTTTCCTTCTGTTCCTGTTAGGGGGCAGCATTCGTGCAGCAGTGGGCTGTGGATAGTCAATGGAGTGTGAGGACTACTACTCTAATTTAATTTAACAACATGCTGATACTGTGATTGTGAAGTGGTCACTGCCTCGGACCGGCCCCGCTGGACCGCTGGAGTCACAGATGGTGGAATGTGTTCGTCCTCCAGCGCATAGATAACAAAGGGTCGGAAAAATAGCTGAGGCCGGGTGGAGAAATATATTTAATATATTTGAGTTTTACCATAAAAAAGACATCTGGGAGGAATTTATGTCTCTGTGAATTCCACAGAAAACTTTTGCCATGTCTGTGGGTTATAGGTCCAGATGGGCTTCCATGAAAAGTGCAACCTGCGGGTGATTTGTCAAAAGATATTTGAAAATACTTCAATTGTTGTCGAGCTTATTTTTTACGTATATTTAAAGGCAGCGAACAAATTGCTAAATGCGAACTATAAATATTTAAAACCGGTTGCATCAGGTAAAAATGTTAAAGTTAGCACACACATTGTTAAAAAGCTAACTCTTAATGTGTAAAAGAAAAACATCTATAAAGTTGCTAGAAAAAATATATTTATTATATAAACACAAAATATTATAAATTAATAAATACAAAATGGGCCTAAAATAGGCCTATAGCTAAAATTACGTTTATAAACAGGCAGGAAGTTGTGTGCGAAAACAGCAGGAAGCTAGCCTAAAGCTAACTCACAGGAAGTACAGAAAAACTCTGAATCTAAAAACCACTTAAAAAACAAAAGTTTGGTCCAAAATAACTGAATTAACCAGAATAAAGATAACCTAGTAAAGCAGAGCCAAACGGTAACAACGTGTTTAGTCTTTTTACCAACTTCTTAGCAACACTAACTGACGGAGTATGTACTGGATTTGTGGAGATTTTCAAAATAAAACGCCGTCTCCTGCTTTCAACTGTGTAGCACTATTTCCGTGTTGTAATGAAAACTCAACTTTGTCTCAACGAAAAAGCGACACGATGAGGCGTAAACTCCCCATCGATTTACTGTGATGTTAAATAGCGTATTCAGTCGCTAAGGTACGTCTTCGTGGCTGTTGTTAAATCACTTTTACTCTCACAGGAAGTCCAGGTCCTTCGGACCGGAAGTTGGAATTCTCCTTCAAACTGCTGACATCGTTGACTTTCTTAAAGTGTCGGTCGCTGGATGTCGGTAACTTGATGTTAGCCTAAAGATCGTTGATGGTCAAGAAAGTGATCCAGAATACTCCGAAAAATATGTTGCATTAGTAAAATAAAAAGTCAGAGATCAGTTCCTGCATTTACTGCTGCTGTCAAGTGCGTTACGGTACAAGAATCAGTGACGGTGAACGTTTTTTAACGGCACCGGTACCAGAACCGACGCTCCGTTCTACCCGCGGAATATCGTTATTTATTCTGTCAGATATTTATATCTGTCAGTTTGTGAAAAGGAACAGGTTGTTTGTGTGTGTACTTCCTGTGTGTGGTGGTGGTGGTGTGTAAAGTCGGGTCCCTGTGTGTGGTGGTGGTGGTGGTGTGTAAAGTCGGGTGTTCACTCGTCTGCACTGCTGCGGTGACTGTTGTTAACAGTTGACACTTATATTCACCAAGAAATCACTGCCATGATCAAATATATTCGGCTGGTTGTTACTCGTTCTGTGTGTCGCCTGCAGTTGGTTATAAATTAAACCTGGTTTTAATAACAACCTGGATTCTGTGAATGATTTCTACGGACAGACCAAACTACAGGAAGTGGCGCTTTATTAGGTTTTAACTCATTTGTTTCAAAATAAAAGCTTTTTGTTCTCTTACAATTCTTGACCTTGACACGCAACTGACCAATGGTGCTTTATCAGGATTGGAGTAATTATTTCAAAATAAAAGTCTTTTGTTGCCTGTGCTTGAATTCCATGTCTATGACACACAGCTAGTCGTGACAACTAGTGCTTTATTAAAGTGTTTCCCAAACTTTTTTCTGGGGACCCAGAGTTTAAAAGTCACAAACTTTCGCAACCCAAGTCAATACAAGACATTATTCGCAAATTCCTGGGAATCTGGCAAAATCTCTTGCGACCCGCCTGAGGGTCGTGACCCAATCTTTGAGAAACAATGCTTCATTAGGTTTGAACTGATCATTTCAAAATAAAAGTTTTTTGTTTTTTATCCTTGAGTTCCATGACTGACACACAGTTGCTGGTGTCCACTGATGCTTTATTAGGATTAGAGTAATTATTTCATAATAAAAGCCTTTTTGTTTTCTATATTTGAAATCCATGACTACGGCACGCAGCCTGTCGTACAGTACGGCGTGTGAAAACACGGTGGTGATTGTGTTGATGCTCCTGATTTTCACATCAGCACTTTCTCCTGTGTCTTGTTGAGACGGCAGTGTTCTGTGTGGACCTGTCAGACACAGAGTAACGTCAAGATTCTGCTGACTTGCAGAAGCTCTGCTCACAAGGCCCTTTTTATATTTGCAGTAGAGGGTGGGGGGGCTGAGGGGAGGTGGGGTTGAGGTCGTCCATCTTCTACGCCTGGTGTCAGCTTACACTTGGATCCTGCTCTGGATTATGTTCTCTGCTGACACAGCTTCTAATTCCTCTGGTGCTTGTCTCCTGTGTCTCTGGCAGTAATAGACATATTTAGTGTAGACTCTGAGATAAACGTTCACGTGAGCTCAGCCCAGCTGAAGTAAAATATAGATCATACCTCAAACTGTATTATACAAATATGACATGAACATAAACAAACGACTCATATTGTTATTATTTTGTCAATGGTTGAAAAAAAAAGGTTTCGGTTTTGTTTGCTTGTTTGTTTTCTCCAAAAACACGGATTCACTGTGAGAACATACGCTGATTTTTCTCCGGTGAGGAAGAGGATTACCGTTGTACAGCAAAGCACACGCACCACCTAGTGGCCCTTGTTGGCACTAGTTGGCTGCAGGAGACGACTGTACTGCTCGTGGGCGGTGCAGCACACGGAGCGCCACATGTTGGTGTGTAGACTGTGTACTACAAAGTACACAGTCTATAAAGAAAACTGGTGACCCTCTGACAGAAGTTTACAAACTGTTACCGATCCTACGGAACGTTGTGTTGATTTCCCGGCCATGTTGACGCCAGGAGTCCATCTGTGTTTTCCCACAGATGTGTTTCACTCCGGAGCGAAACATCATTTATCTGGAAGCTGAGTCAAATGATGAGAAGTTGGAGCGGTTGTGTAACCGCTGTGAGAGGTAGGGATGGAGGGAGAGAGGGAGGGAGGGACCTGGTTCAATTCCACCAAGTTGGGCTGTGTGGGAACGTGGATCTCATCCACAGATTGATGACAGATGTGTACAGCCAGGATTATTATTATTATTATTATTATTATTATTATCATTATTATTATCATTATTATCATTATTATATTATCATTATTATTATTGTTAATATTTTTAATTTTTTTAGTATTATTATTATTATTATTACTATTATCAGAAACGACCCTCTTACAGGAACTCCTCTCCCGCGCAGTAAACCTTGTGAAAACCCACTATGATGCAGCGAAAAATCTGGCAGAAAAAAAACATGAAAAAAACCCCCGCAGTTCACGTCATGTATGTATGCAGAGATATTTGCTGCCCCCTGTGGGTTGGTGACGGTTAGTGGCACTTTGACGGAAGAATATCTTTTTTTATTATTATTATTTAACGTTTTGGTTTTTTTCAAAAGTCAAACATTTTTAATAATAGAAATAGATGATGTTCAACATCGGTGTTAAAGTCATGTTTCTGTTGAATGTTATTAAACAACTCTTAATGAAATGAATATTACGGTAAATCACACAAGAACAAGTAAAGAAAACTGGTGGAAATAAACAACTCGAGTCGAGACGATTTTATTTTCACAAATTCAAATCCAACTACGCGAAATGAAGCGGCAAATTTTGCTGGATTTACATATCGATCATATTATAATGAAATGATTTTTACCAGGACAGGGTTTAGAAATTATTACAGAGAAACTGCAAACTGAAAATTAGATATAGGCTATATAAGATATTATTATTATTATTATTATTATTATTATTATTATTATGTAGTAAGATCAATAATAACAATAATTCCAATATTAATAATCATAATAACATGATCATAATATTATATTATAATAAAATTAACATATCAATCTAATAAGATCGTGACGATCCGACTGTTACCGACACAACACCGTGTGTTTGAACCGCGGATATCTCTTAATGCGGGTACAAAAAAAACAAAAAACAAACAAACAAACAAAAAAAACACTGGCAGTAAACGGCAGTGGCCGCTGCAGGAACTGCACCTCAGCACCGTCACGGTGTTCTCCATAGGAAACCGTGACAATGACCGTGCGTGGACGCGTCTGCCAGCCTCACACGCGTGCGGCGTGTACGCACTGCACTCGACGCCCACTCCGCTCGTGTGGCGCGACGGATTGGCCGCTAAAGATAACAGCGCCTCAGTGAGCGCTGTGATTGGCTGGTGTTCTCTTGGACATGACGTTATGCTTACTCTCTCCACACACACACACACTCACTCACACACACACGGAGAGAGAGAGAGAGAGACAGGGGCTCTGAGTGAGAGGGAAGACGTAATGGTTTGAGTCCCCGTACGTCTGCCATGGTCGTCGACCTGACATTACTCGGTAAATTCCTCGGACGGGAGGCGCAATGAAGGTACGTGAATCTGAGCTGCACTTCCGGTTCGGTTCGGTTCGTTTGTGGGCCTGCTGTTTTAAGGCTCTATATATATGTGTGTGTGTGTGTGTGTGTGCACCAAGCTGCACTGAGGCGCAGAGGAGAACCCGCGGTCGGTACTGTCACCGAGTCCGCTCCGTGTGCACTTGGTTCCAGTCTCACTGCAGGAGCAGATATTTTTTAATCCGAATTCTTCCCCTTGTCATTCCGGTGGTTGCGGCTGTGAAGCATGTAGTGAATCCGACAGAAGAAGAAGAAAAAAAAAGAAAAAAAACCCTCGCAGCCGCGCAAGGTTGTGCTGAACTGCAGGTAGAGTTCGATGCCCGTTAATGAGCCTGGTTTGACCCTGGTCGTGATACTTCAGTGGACTCTAAGCTGCTGGAGCGACGTCCATTCACCGTCAGGCTGTAATCCTCTTTAATGAGACGGTCAGAGAGTGGGGGAGAGAGTGGGGGGGAGAGAGAGAGAGAGTGAGAGAGAGAGAGTGTCCACGCAGG